TAGTCTGCCAGAGCAACACTTTTTAATAAAAACAATTTGAAATTTTATCCACTCTATATGGTTTATTCTTCGCCTCGTGTCGTTCAAATATAATTATTCTGAAGATAGCGATCAGTCTAAGTGTAGGTAGTCTTGCTATGCACTATAACACCATTGATTCATTCGTACTCGAAAATAAAACATATGAAGAAAGAGTTTGTTTCTTTTTGATTGCTAGGTTTGAAGAAATATTCAAATAATGATTTATATTGTTACATGTTATTATTATTGAGAGTTTGTTAGGAAGGTGAAAATTGTCACTAATAATGAGGAAGTTTTGCAAAGATACGTATGTATATTCAATTGTGTTTTACTTGATTATTGTACGGTATAAAATAAGGTTAAAGAAGATTAAATACTGAAAATAAAGAAAGTATCTAAAACCACCTACACCCATACCAAATATGCTGAATCAAATTCTGTAATGTGTTGCAATCATTGCTTCTAAACATTCGATTTTAAAATCTTCAAATCATTTTTTTAAACCAAATATTAGTTTCTCCATAACAGTAAAATAATTGCTTTACAACTATGCTATTTTAATATAAAACTTAATTGTTCTAATAAACATTAATTTAATTCATTTTCAACATTTTTAACATTTAATAATATTCCGGTTAATGATAAACCTATTGCATTTTATTTTCATTTTATATTTGAATTAGATATTAATTTATAAATATGATCTTTCCATGATTCAACTAATTTTGTTTAATTAAATCTAAATTAGGTTTTTATGTGTATAATTTAGAGATAAATAAATATTCTAAAAGATATTGAATTGATGTTAAATCAAGTTCATTTGAAATTGCTATAGAACTCTATGATAAAGAAGACTTTTTAAAACATTTAATTTTATATTTGAACGGTTCAAGTACTGCGTGTATATGATTAATAAGACGTATAAGAAATAATTTTACATTAAATTTAACAGTTGGATTATTAAAATTTTTCATATAAATAAATCATTCATGGTATGATATCAGATTGTATATTTGTATTTGAAGATTAATTTAAACTAAATCTATTCTTATTTTATCATCTGCTGTACATTGAATTAATGTTGGCTTATCATCATCTTTTCTAAATAGAGAAATTTCTAAAGATTTTTCTGGAAGTGAATTGAATTGTTGTTGACTAATTGCAGTCGAGATAAAAATCAAAAATAGCTATTTCATCAGTTAAACTACTATCAAATAGATATTGAGAAGGTAAATAACGCGATAGAGTAGATAAACGTTGTTGCTTATCAGAATTTGAGTTTAATAATGTATGTTTATTTTTTTATAATATCGCTCGAGTTCAAGAGGAAACGTATATTTTTGATCTAGATCAATTACATTTTCTCATTGATACTCCAAGAAATGTTCAAATAATTTTAAATGATTTTATAAATTTCTAGAAAACAGATTATTAATTATTATACTGATAATATACTACACTTTTCTCAAAATTAAATTGTATGTATAATTTGTTAGTACATGACGAGTATTTATAAAAAGGAAAAAATAAAAATATATTCTACAAAGTTCTATTATATTTGATAAATACTTAAAAATTTAGCATTGTGAAATTTTGCGATACAAAAATTAATCGAGGAATAAAAGCAGTAGATGAACTTATTTTCTTGTAGCGCATATGTTTCGATAGTTTGAAGAACTGAAGTTACTGTTAGTTCAAATAAATGTTTACGGACACCCACACCCTCTCTTGCTTAAAAACTTATGTTGCAAAATATTCCCGTCAATAGTCGTTTGATGAAGAGAATACCACATCATTACGTTTAGCATATCATGCAGAAAACATACATTATCAACAAAGCATTAAAACACACCAAAATGCATTTAATTAAAATTAGATTATATTAAAATGCATGACATTGTATTCAAATAAATTATGATGCATTCAACTGTATTAAATTAATATGAAACTACATCAAAAACACATTTATTTAAAATTAGACTATATATCAAGGAACTAAAAAATGGCATTAAACTATTGATAGAAGGATCAGCTCGCTTGAAAAGATAATTCGAAAGACCTTGCGTGATATATTCATTATTTTTCGTTCTTTACTAATATTAATAAAATTATTAAAATATTTATTTTTGATATTATCGTCGTTTCTTTATATTAGTAAACCTTGTTAACTTACTATATTTAAATAATAGAAAGAATTGGCTTTGAACTGTTGAATCGAGAATAAATAGTAGGCGTGCCTCTGATTCACAGAACAACTGGTAGTGTGTCTTTGATGAGATACATTAAAGGAGATGAATGCCTGACATTTGCTTTACTAACTATTTAATTGAAACATCAAAGTAGTGGATTAAACATATGCCATCATTTTGAAAGCTGTCATTATCTAAGAGACGACATTAAGAATAATGGCATCACCTACATTGTCACTTGTTCAAAATCTACTTAATCATTATGCAATGCCCGCCTGCATGATACTGGGCAATATTGGTAACGCATGTAATGTGTTGGTTTTCAGGAAGCATCGCCAGAATGTTTGCTCAATGTATCTCTTAGCTGCATCTGTAATGAACATTTTTTTTCTTACATTCATCATTACATTCTCTATGTATACTTATGATCGTGGTGATCCATCGGTGGGATCTTCGATTTTTTGTAAAGTACGCGTCTATTTACCTCACGTATGGGGACAAATGGGTCGATACTTCATTGTTTTGGCAAGTATGGATCGTTTTGCAATAACGAGTAGCAGTGCTCGTTTACGATCACTCAGCCGACTTTCTATAGCACGATGGCTTTTGGGCGTTTTTACTATTGTTTGGCATGCATTTGGCTCTCTTGCATTGATCATGACAACAATTCAAAATGGACAATGTGGTCAGTTCGGTATTTACTATATCTGGTACAATGTTTACAGCATAGCCACCATTGCTATAATTCCACTTGCATTGACAACTATCTTTGGATCTATGGCCTTTTTCAACATGAAACAACGACATGCTCGCGTTGGATTGACTGCAGACATCGGTAATGCTGGTTTTCATCGTCGAGATCAACAGTTGCTGAAGATGGTACTCGCAGAAGTGTCGGTGCATTTTGTAACGAATATTCTCTTTCCGATCATTACTATTGAAGTTGCAGCGACCAGTTACATGAATGCCAGCAAAAGCCAGATACGCTTACAGATTGAAAATCTCATTGTACTTGTCGGTCGCATTCTTTTCTATACGAGTAATGCAGCGTCTTTTTACATATTTTGTACTGTATCTGGAACATTCCGTCGGGAATTCAAGGAGATTATCTGCAAATGTTGTCATCGAGCAACTGCGCGGCCACCAGTGACTAATAGACAAGTCAAAAGAGAAATGCCGGAGCAACAAGAGTCACGCTTATAAACTGCAATGAATACTAATTGGATAGATATGAATTAATTAATTATTAACTATCTCACAACCATATATGACTCTCCGCCTGGATTTCAATGGTGTCAATATTAAACTAACTTCGTTTAAATATTTGCGACTCCGCTTTTGCTTATTCAATGTTATCATCGAGTTACTACATAGTTTCAAACATCGATGTTATTAATAAACAGAAATTCTTGTAACAACAACTTATCTTATGTTCTTCTCCCTTTACATTTAATATTGTATTTTATAAATGCTTAATTGCTGAGGTAGTATCATCTGCTTACACTATTCTTTCACTGCACGACTTAGATCTAAACATGTAGTTTCTTCTTGAAACCTCGTAGAATTTCAGCGAAAAAATCAGATCGATACACCTAGTCTTCTATATGACCTCATGTTTCTGCCAGTTGTGCTCATGCCAATCACCTTCTTGATTTATTATATTGTTTTTTCATGTTGCTATTAAACAAATTTTCTTATTAATATATTTTACAATACAGATTTAAACAGTAGAAAGACACAAAGACAATCATAAAACAGCGTGTGAGTGTGGGTCACAAGAGATATTTTAACCGTAATCACACCCCCAATTACCATTAATGAGAAACAATATACTAATTTGCTAATTATGAAACATTTCAATATACTTGATCTTTCGCATAATGTTAATCCAGTTGAAGACCATAAACCTATTTGTTTCTTGATATTGTAACTGTCCTTGAGTATCCATTGATATACCTAGGAAACTACATTTTTCTCTTTGAATTTTTTGCATTGAATTGAAGAGGATCTAGCCAGTCACTTATTCAAAAAATTATTATCTTTGCACCATTTGTTTTGTCATGCGACGCATAACTATATTTTTTAAATATTTCATAAATTTCAAATTCATTATTTGTATTGAAAATAAATGTACATACGTCGTCAGTATATGCTAATGTTTTAATTTCAATATTTTTGTGTTATCATTTTTAAGAATTTTACGAACAATTGTTTTACATTGACTACCAGGAATTACTACACCAGGTATGTTGGGATTTCTCCTCATCAAATTAAGTAAGGGTTCTAAGCACATAACATATAGATAACCATAAAATAAACAAGCTTGTCTAATTCCAGAGTTAAAGGATACTTTATAGTAAAAGTGGCAATGGTATAAAGCAATTTAGTTAAATTAATGAAATTGCATCCCAATCCAAATTGTTTTAATACCTCGAAAAAATAAAGGTGATTTACCCTATCAAAGGCTTTTTCCTGCTCCCATGTTGCTAATCCAATTGCTATTCGGTTACGTGAGTGATAATCTATGATTTAGGCGTATTAGATGCATGTAATCATATATAGTTCTTCTGGGAACACCTGATGATTGATTGTAATGTATGATTTTGTTAATAACCTTTTATAGTCGTGTACTTAAGACTTTAGTTATAATTTTATAGTCAATATTCATAAGTAAAAGAGGTCGAAAATTTGCCATCGTTTCATTAAATTCACTTTCTTTCTTGTAAGTGTAAGAAGGCCATTAAGGAATCTATCATTAAAAGTAACTTTTTTCCTTAGCTGTATTAACCATCTTGATAAAATGATAAGAATTACAACAATTTTCCATCATTTCATTATCTGTTTTAACACAGTCTTTGGTTGGATCAATAAGATAATCTATTCTCGACTGATTAGCTTTATCATATGCTTATATTGCATTAGTTAAATTTCTATGACATTTAATATGACGGTCATCTTGACTCGGAATAGCATTAACGAATTTTTCTGTTAAGGCATCATCCAATTTTTGTCTAATCATTTTCGTGATGTTTTTCGATTAAGTCCTTTTTTCTTCTCCTTGCAATATCATGATTAGACTAGTTTTGAAATCCTTCGACCAATCAGTTGTGTTATTAATACTGTTCCAATAGGGGGTGGAATTTCTCTAAAAATGATTCCCTTTTTGATTGCATTGGCATTACAGATCCATCTACGATATATATTATCATTGATTAATGGTAGTATTTTAATAGATAGCACTAATACACCATGATCTGATATACCCACAGGTGCATAACCAATTTCATGCTTATTTTTATATACAATATTTGAACCAAAATGAAGGTCAATGCGACTATGAATATTTCTTGCATCAACGTGATATGAATAAATAATTTTTTTTTGATTGTTTACGTCTAATTATTTCAGTTAATGATAATGGATTGATCACCTCTTTGAGAAATATGCGATAAAATATATTATCTATTTGCACATTTAATTTAATTCTATCGTGTTGGTTATTCGGTGTACAATTAAAATCACCTCCTATGATAATCCATTTGGTAGAATAAATATGTAAAAATAATTCTTTAAAAGAGGAACATCGTTTTGTTATTTGAGCAGGTGCATAATGGCGTGGCTGTATGTGTGGCTTTCGATGTGGAATGAATAAAATACCCACATCCACACCCTCAAGATGAACCATTTGCGTATAACAATGATATACATTTAATAAAGTTATCGCCGAATCCAAAAGTTTGAAGAACGACAAGTAAATATACATGATCAACTTTGTCGAATGCTTTCTCTTGATCTCATAAAACTAAGCTTATGAGATCTATAACTGTTTTCTGATCTTCTATTAATGATCGAATCAGATGAATATTATCATTAATCGTTCTACTTGGTACACAATATGCTTGATTGATATGTATAATCCGTTCTATAATAAATTTCTGCCTATTGTTAAGAGTTTTCGAAAGGATTTTGTAGTTCAGATTCATTTACGGTTAATCAAAATCAGTTAATAAGTTTACTGAGAATAAAAATTTTCAAAACTGTAACACGTTCCTTAAAAGAAAGATTGATTTGGGACCAATATCCAAGTTGTTGTTTGATAATATTTATCTTACGGGTTAATTCTGATGATGGTAAAATTTCCAGTGTTCATAGGTATCCCCAGGAAGGTGCACCAGTCTAACCTCACTCTAGCTTCAAAGAGTGGTGGTGGTAACCAACTTGAAATTCAGAGTATTTCAGTCTTAAAGTTATTGGTTTTTGCTCCAAAAGCTTGCGTGCAAGTGTCGTAACATCGTCTGCATATGCTAAAGCCTTTATCCTGATCTGTTCAGCATCATTGTTCTTCAGAGTAATTTGAAAATGACCACCTGGAGGAAGGATACCGGATATGGTGTGATTCATTCGAATACGATGCAACAATGGTTCTTTTGAGATTACAAATAATGCACCGGAGAGACTACAACCCTGCCTAACACCCAAGTTAAATCTGATTGACGTTAAGAGACTGTTGCTGATTTTTATTCTAAATGAGCCATTTCCGTACAATAAAGAAACACATCGAATACATTTAAAACCAAACCCAAATACCTGCGAAACCCCTACAAGATAACGGTGGTTGACGCGATCAAAGGCCTTTTCTTCGTCCTAAACGACCAGAGCAATGGGATTTCGAATACGTTGTTGGTGTTCTATAATCGATCGGATCAATAAAATATTATTTCGCATTGTACGGCCTAAAATCAAACATGATTGATCCCGAAGAATGATTGAACAAAGAACTCTTTGTAATCGCATAATAAGCACCTTTGATAAGATTTTATAATCGATATTCATCAATGATAAAGGCCTATAATCTTTCATATCACCAGTGGGTGTATTCTTTTTGCTCAATAGTGCTAACAGAGCACGACGAAACCCTTGATAAAATTATCTCTTGTTTTCAGCAACATTGATTATTTGCACATACCGAATACCGATCATGGAAAATATGATTCGTCAGACCTTTGTTGATATACCGTCGTCACCCGGAGATTTCCGATCTAGCATTGACATTAAAGCTTTATGGCATTCTTCTACAAACATTTCACGTTCTAAAGCCTCTTTATCGTCATTCCTTAGTTCAGGTAAACCATCTAACAGTGTAGTCCATGTTGAGGGTGTGAGCGCTTTCAGATATTATTTTTATACCAACATCCATCCCTACACCATCATTCCCTTCGTGTTATTTTGCTTTTTCCTTACTAAATTCATTCGTTTTTACGATTTTTACTTTCTTTATTTTCAATATTGAATCTTCTTGAAGTATATTTTATACCGTACAACAATCAAGTAAAACACAATTGAATATACATATATATCTTTGCAAAACTTCCTCATTATTAGTGACAATTTTCACTTTCCTAGCAAACTCTGAATAATAATAAAATACAACAAAAATGAAATGCTTTAATAATGTACATTTAACAACATAAATAATTGTTGAAATATTTCTTCAAACTTAACAACCAAAGAACACAAACTCTTTCTACATATATATTATTTTCGAGTAAAAATGAATCACAGATATTATAGTACATAGCAAGACTACCTACACTTAGAATGATCGCTATCTTCAAAATAATTATATTTCAACAAGACATAGAATGAAACATAGAGTGAATGAAATTTCTAATTGTTTTTAATTAAAAAGTGTTGCTCTGGCAGACTAGTGTGTTACCACCAGTCCGCACAATTTCGTCATCGCAACATGTATTTGATCAGCTAGGATCATTTACCTCTTGGTAAGTTGTAATAAGCAACTTTTCTCGATACTGTGTGGAGCACGACATCTACAGTGTCTTTACACATTTCACTTTTCTCTTTCTATTCTTTTCATATGATATATACAACGACAAAACACATGTGGTGCTCCATATACTATCGAGAAAAGTTGCTTATTACAACTTTATACCAAGAGGTAAATGATCCCACTTGATCAAATACATGTTGCGATGACGAAATTGTGCAGGCTGATGGTAACATTAGCCTGCCAGAGCAACACTTTTTTTAAATTAAAATGAAAAATAAATAAAAATATATTGCAATATGATTTATTATTCTTGCACAATATTCATCATATGAATAAATTATATATACTGTAATGTCGTAAGTTAAAATAAAATACATTCTTTCTTCATTTCTTTTATGGAAAAGTGAAATGTGTA